CTGCGCACAGTGGCAAACTGCGAAATGCTCAGATGTAGCCCTTAAGTGCGGTGCGCACACTGCGCACAGTGGCAAACTGTGAAATACTCAGATGTTGTCCTCAAGTGTGGTGCGCGCACTGCGCACAGTGGCAAACTCAGATATGGCCCTCAAGTGCCGCCCACAACAGCGCACAGGGGCGAATAGCACAAACGGTCCTCAGTTACGGCATGCAACTACGCACAGTGGTGAATAGCACAAATGGTCCTCAGATACGGTGCGCAACTCCGCACAGTGGCGAATAGCACAAATGGTCCTCAGATACGGTGCGCAACTCCGCACACTAGCGAATAGCACAAATGGTCCTCAGATACGGCGCGCAGTTGCGCACAATGGCGAATAGCACAAATGGTCCTCAGATACGGTGCGTAACTGCGCACATTGACGAATAGCACATATGGTCCTTAAATACGGTGCGCAAGTATGGTGCGCTCTCTGCGCACTGTTGGGGAATGCTCAGTTATGGTACTCCAGTATGGTGCGCTCTTTGCGCACTGTTGAGGAATGCTCAGATATGATACTCAAGTACGGTGCGTTCTTTGTGCACTGTTGAGGAATGCTCAGATATGATACTCACGTACGGTGCATTTTGTGCGCACTGCTGAGGAATGCTCAGATATGGTACTGTCGCAGACTTGGTACTTAGAAATGATGCGCACACGGCACCCAAGATCAAAGCGCAATGTCACACTTAAATTCGAGAGTGCACAGTCGCAGTTGGACCATTATGCAGCGAATCATCTTTTGGTACAGCGAATCAAGAGACTCGAATAGCCAACCATCATACTCTGTTCAAGTGCCTATTGGCACAGCTAATCATTCAGTTTAAGTGCTCATTGGCACAACCAATCATCAAGCCCTGTTTGAGTACCTATTGGCACAGCCAAATACTATGCCAAATGTTTGCTGATACAAAGTCCAAAAATATGAAGCGATACACAGATCATGTAACCCTTGGCAGATTCGACCCAGACACAACGAAGTATAGCACTCTGAATATGACAGGGTTCACCGCGTGACTCGGCATCAACAGTCTTCGTGCTCAGAGCAGGTGAATACACAGTATCAGCCCTTAAGTACGGTGCACAGTATCAACTGCCCTCAAGCACAATGCGCGTGAGTACCCAATCTCAACAGCTCTCAGGCACGGTGCTCGGGGGCACACGGTATCCTCAGCCCTTGAGCACGGCGAGCTCGAGTGCTCAGCACCGGCGGCCCTCGGGCACAGTGCGTGCGGGCGGTCAACGGTAGATCAGAACTGTGTCATGAACCAATGGGCTCGCGGGGGATTAGACAGACCTCACACATCCGAGTGAGAAGAAGGAAAGGGAAGAGAGCGAGCAGGAGAGCAGAAAGAAGATGACAGGAGAGGAGGTGAGGGAGAAAGCAAGGTGGCCCTTGTGAGAACTGAGACCGCCGTACTTCCCCGAGCAACCCCCTTCCCTTTATCTCCTTGCATGTCTTGGTCGTCCCTCTTCCCACTTGCTCTAACGCAGTAGCTTCAGTCCTTCTCCTTCCTCGCTGTCCCGCCAGTCGTTCCGCATCCCCGTGTGTGAGAGATTCTCCAAGACTGCCCCAATGCCATAGCCAGAAGCGTCCGTTGCCGAGCATCCGTAGTCACTCGCGTCGGCAAGGTGGGGTCATAGATGTTCAGGACGGGTGCCATGAGCATGGCCGTCTTAAGTGCTTGGAATGACCGGCGTGCGTCGTCATCGAATACGAATGGCACCTTTGGCGACTGTAACCTCGTCATAGGTGCAACAATCCTGGAATATCCGGTGATGAATCGCTGATAGTAGCCCGCCAATCCCATTAATGAACAAACGTCCGTGGTGTTGGTGGGCTCGGGCCATACTCGTAGGGCCTCGATCTTGTCCGCAAGAGGACGGATGCCTTGCGGCGTCACATAATGTCCCAAGTACTCCAGCTCCTGACGCGCACATTCGCACTTGTCACGGTTGGCTTTGTGCTTGGCTTGTCATAGCCGCTCCAAAACGGTGCGCAGGTGTTCCACATGCTCTCCAAACTCCGACTGTACACCAGGATGTCGTCGAGGTAGATAAGTACGTAACGATCCAGCATGTGTCGGAACTCCGTTGTCATAGCCGCTTGGAAAGTGGCTGGGGCATTCGTAAGGCCAAATGGCATGACTAGCCATTCGAACTGCCCATATCGCGTCTTAAACGCGGTCTTGTAGCAATCCTCCTTCCGAATCTTGAGTTGGTGATATCTCGACTTGAGGTCCAGCTTGGAGAAGAACTTGGCGCCTCCCAATCGCTCGAAAAGATCGTCGAGGCGTGGGAGAGGGCTGGCGTTTCTGATCGTCTGCGCGTTGAGCTTGCGATAATCGATGCACAACCGCAGGTCCTTGTTCTTCTTCCGGACGAAGCGAACAGGAGCACCGTATGGCGATGAGCTAGGCCGAATCCAGCCTTTCTCYAGAAGGTCGTCGAGTTGTGCCCGAAGCACACTTAACTCTTCCTCGCTCATTCGGTAGATGCAGCCGCCTGGAGGTACGGCCCCGTCCTCGAGGATGATCTTGTGGCGGATGGGCCGATCCGGTACTACTCCGTGCGGGCCTTCGAACACGTCGTTGTAGGCGTCGAGAAGTTCGGTGATAAGTGGATCCGAAGATGAGTCCGTCGATGACGTGTCTTGGGGCGGGAGGGCGTGGAGAAAACACACCCCCATCTCCTCGATGTCGTCTTTGATGATGGAAGCTCGCATGCTTGCGGCGGATACCACGTGACAGCTGACTGAAGGGTGAGGAGGAGCTACCGTGCATGGGACTAGTACTCTGTTCCGATCACGAATGTGCACGTTGCGGCGGTAGAAGTTCACCGGGTGGTCCTCGCTTCGCAGCCATGACATGCCCAAGATTATGTCAAATTTGGTGTTGAGGATGTCAAAGGACACCGCCTCACTTTCGTGAGGGGCAAAGTACATTGGGACGTCGTCAATGCACCGGTCGATTAACTTGTGCGTGTGACCGTCCGCCAACATGACTTGCGTGGGCTGGGACTTCCTTCGGACTCGTGGCCCAAGGCCGGCGCGTACCATGAAGTCTTGACTCATGTAGTTGCGAGATGCTCCGCAATCGATCAAAGCGCTGCAGGTCGCCTCTCCGATCTGAATGCGTACATATAGCAATGGTGCGTCGGTGTCGTCGTAGCGTTGCGTCTTGAACTCGCGGTCGATCTTCGCAATGTAGACATGAAGGTCGACAATCTCTACTCCGACGTCCATCAACGGAGTCAATACAGCAGTGTGCAAGTAATCTCGCAATTGTGCCTTGAGCACGTTGCAATGCGGTTTCGGCAAGCGACCGGACCGGGGCAGGGGCATCCATTGGAAGTCCTCAAAAGTCAATGGGTTGAGTTCTTCAAGACTTGACCATGTCGTTGAATCCCCGGCGGTAGATGACGGCGAAGCTGCCGAATCGGTTGCCGATGGTGATGAAACCGTGCATGCGGTAGATTGTTGCACGTGGAGCGGTTGGTCCAGCGGTGGGACCAAGTGGACAGCATAATCCTCGTAAGTGTAGAGAGGACTTGCGACATGCGCATCCTCCCCAGATGTGTAGGAGGCCGCTAGCAAGGCGGCCAAATCTGGCGGAGTGAGAGGTGGAGTCGCCTCACCTCCTGCACAACTCAGTTTCCCGAGTTAAGACGAGGCCGCACATCCTCCTTGGCCTGATCCTGGCAAAGGGAGGTCTTGTGCTTGGTGCTGTTGCACCAGTAACAACAGCCATAACGGCCGCGGTACTTGTACTCCGTCTCGGTCAAGCCGAACTTGACCCATAGTGGTGCAGGCTGTCCATTTCCGGCCGACGATGCTGATTTCGCCTTCCCGTTCACTCGGGGTTTGTTGTTGCTTCACGGCTGGACGGCAGCCACCTGATCTCCCTCACGTGATGCTGGAGTGGCTGTTGGGTCTTCTCCACTGTCCGATTGGACTGCAGCGAACTGCTGCTATCGGGGACCAGTTCTTACCTTCTCCACATAGGTTGGCTGCCACGTTGACTTCTCGTGTGCAACTGCCCTGTTGGTCTTGATGATCTCCCTCGCCTTGTTGATGATCTCTGCGAAAGTGTTGTACTGCTCGCGATCACCAAGTGCGAGGCTGAGAGCGGCACATGACCTGTTGTAGAACTCACGGCGCAGATGCGGAAATGGGAAGTCCAAATCGAGCATTGCCACGATCTTCTGCCAATCCGTGAGCCAGGCACGTGTCGGTGTGCTCCCTTGAGCCATCGTGAAGATTCGGTTGATGGCGAGTGTCGGGGCGTCGTCGACAATGAACCGCTTCTTCCATTCCTTTGTCATATCTTCCCAGGAACCTTCTTGTACAGGTATGAAACCTGGACGTCGTGGATGGTTGCCATGTGGCTGAGCCAGATCTGGCATCCTCCCTTGGTGTTGATGAACAAAACACTGATGAACAGATTGGTCAAGGACCTCGTGAATCCCCAACTCCGTTGTAAGTCCTTGCCACGAGACGACCGGGTCTTGATGTGTGTAGTCATCAAATTTATCGATCCAGAACGTCGGCATCTTGTATGGCCTCGCCGAGCTGTTGTTGTGGCTGTGGTCAGTCTGCTGTTGCTGACTGATCTTGGTGTCCAGCAACTCGAACCGTTGGCTGATGGTGGCCGGCTCTGCGAAGGCACTTATATCTCCTAGCATTGCCACTACGTGGTCAACGCGTTCCTCCAGTTGGCGGCTAGAGGGTGCATTGCTGGAAGCCCCAGCATCTGGTCCTGGTACAGCCTGTTCCAGGTCCAGTACACGGGAATTGAGTGCCCGTGTTGCATCCTCGTGGGTTTGCACTATCCGGCGGAGGTTCGCCAACTCCTGGTGCTGTTGCTTCAGATCCTGGAACAGCTGTTGCAGTTCCTGGTTCTGTTTCTCCAACTCGGACCGTTGGTAGTTGCAAGCACACAACAACCGTGTCACGAGTTTGGAGAGGAACTCCTTATGCTTCTCTTCTGGTGTTGCCTCGTCGCCGTTCGGTTCAAAGTGCCAGAACTTGAGTCTGTCGATGCTGTTGGCTTCATGCCGCTGCATCAGATCCTGGGCTTCCTTGCGGCGAGCCTGGGCATCTGCGTCTGCTTCAGCCTGTAGCCACAGCTTCTCTGTTGTTGCCGCTTCTTCAGCCCCTGTAGCTGGGCAGCCGCGGCTGCCAGCTGGCGTTGTTCCGCAGCCTCGATGAAAGCGAGCTGAGCCTGGAAACACTTTTTGTAGTCGGCAATAGGCTCATTGGCCAGTTGGCTTGGCAGGCCCGTCATGTTGCTGACGTGGCACTGATTACATGGCACTGTGTCTGACGTGGCACTGTGTCTAGCGTGGCACTGCCGACGTGGCATTGTGTCTAACGTGGCACTGTTGGCGTCTCACTCCAGCTGACGTGTCACTGTGTCTGACGTGGCACTGCTGACGTGTCACTGTAGCTGACGTGGCACTGTCTGACGTGGGACTGCTGACGTGTCACTGTAGCTGACATGTCACTGTGTCTGACGTGGCATTGCTGACATGTCACTGTGTCTGACGTGGCACTGTACCAACCCGGAAAATGCATGCAAAGGGTGGTTGGGAGGGAAAACACAAGTAGGAAAACCAACTTAACAATACTTTCCTCCGACCCTAATCAACAGATAAAATAAAATAAAAAAATAAAAGCGGACTACTTCCTTTTTTTTTTTTTTTTTGGGTATATTAGTCGATCTATTATGAGTAGGACATGTAAGAAGAGTATTATGAACGAGATCTAGGCTAGGTTCTGCAAAGTTTCGGCTTTTACAAACTGCGATCTTGAAAAAAAAAAAATTTAGATGCGATTTTCAGAAAAGAACGAAATCCAGTTTCTGAGAATATGGCAACCTCCGAATATGCCTAACGCAATATTGGTAGGCTTCGCAAGATTTCGGTTTTCAAAAAAAAAATTGCGAGATAGAAAGGAAATTCGATTTTCAGAAAAAGAAGAATTCCAGTTTCCGATAATATGACCACTTCTATCGTTATCCCAATATGCCTAGAGAACGAAATACTAACTTTAGAAATTTCAGCTATGTATGCGAAAATATCAGAGAAACGAAAAGCTACTATCGGGAATTTTCAGACAAAACGAAATGCGATTTATCAAAAATTTTCAGATATTTGTTACGTAAAAACGAACTACTAATATCAGAAATTTTCAGGTAAAACGAAATGCGAATAACAGAAATTTTCAGATAGTTGTTGCGAGAATTTTTTTTTTCAGAGATTTGACGAAGTCCTACTTGCGTTACTAACGAGCGATCAATAGATCAGCAAGCTGGCTACTTGATTGCGCGGGTCCTCTGAATGAGAGGTCCGCTCCGATACCAAACTGTTGCATACTGTAACGTGCAGACTAGAACAAGAACCGACCTCTCAATACAAAGTGTAAGATAGCACAGCGGAAGACTTAGATACCAATGATCCGACAATCAATACTGCAATACAGCTCTTAACATACATCATCATCATCGTTACACGGTGTGAATGGGGTCTGGCGCTTCACACAGGAAGACTGCGCCAGCCCCTACCATACACAGACAAAGAAGAAGGGGGTTAAACGAAGAGGAGGGGAAGATGGGAATGTCGTCAACACCAAGTCTTCGCACAGGCCCAAATAGTCCCTCGTCAGAATGTTTGAATCCCAAATGTCAAGTCTGGATCCAATGTCGTCAAGTCTCAAGTCACCACTCTGTCTCTCTCTGTCGTAGTCTGAGAAGTCAGGTGGCGAGAGGGTGAGAAGAGATGGTGGACTTAGAAGAGGAAGAAGAAGAACTCTCTCTCTCTCTCTCTCTCTCTCTCTCTCTCTCTCTCTCTCTCTC